TTTTCTTTTCATTATGCTCATTGGGCGCTTAATCATATTGACTACAGTGGGGGCGTGGCGAAAAGATGGGAATGCGATGATCTGAAGGTTGGCGTGACCACTGGTGATTTCTGGAAAATTTACGTTCGCTAAAATGTTTGTGTGTTGATGTCTGTTTCTATTAATAGTCTTCAGTGGCTGTAGAAGTTTCAACTTTTTAACTCGCCAATTTACTCATTTACAAAAAACGTCTTTCGACAAAGAGCGAGGACCATAAATAAAAGGTTATAATTAACGACGTCATTTACTACTATTACCAGAATGCTTCAGTATTTTGCTTTCTTGTGCAAATTAGAGCTTTTGTCGTGGGTGCCAATTGGGTTAACTGTTTAACGTATAAAGGCCTTTTTTCACTATCAAAAACGTATAAATTACAAAATATTAACTGACAAACGTATAAAAACAGGTAATTGTTTAAGCGTATACACAGCGAAGTAGACCCAAAAGTTAGGAATTGATTCAAACAAATGAAGACTTTCTGAAATAAAAAGACGATATGGTGAGACAGAATGATAGAGACGTACTTGGCAATCTTTCCTACACTCTAGTCTGTTCGCTGACGTATATGCGACTGCGTCATTCTGTGGTTGAGCCTGCATTCGAACTGCGTGCGGTTATGCCTCTCAATTCAAAGGGAAACAGACAACCATTTCACAGTTAAAAAGAAGGAGTCTTGTTTTGATACAACCCTTTCTGCTTGCTTGTGTCAATCACGTTGTTCTTATGCTTAACGTGAAGACTAGGTTATTATAAGTCCACAACTGTAAAATGGTTTATTTTCTCAGTATACCTCTTTGCTTGCGTGATCTTGCAAATAGGTGTTTGTACTGCTTATAATGCGGCCTAATACTAAATGAAGTCTAGTTCCGCTTGTAATCTTATGAGCGATAAAACAAAATCGGAAGCGCGTGCAGCCGCTTTAAGCGGGAATCGCATTTGTTTAATCCTCTGATAAGTATAAATTACAGATTGTTAATTGGACAAGAAGTTTTATTACCGATTCCCTTGCCTTACCTTCAGGACACATTCAAGAGTGCGCGTGTAATGGCGCATACTGCATTTTTCTGTCCAATTATACTTACGCATGACAAGTACTTTCCTATTACATCGTCCTATTAATTCTGAAATCTGGGCTGCCTATAGCAATTATATAAGAGAATTTTGTTTTAGTTATGATAAGCGGGACAATGACTGTGTATAGAAATTCAGATGTCATTGAGTGCTCTTTTTCAAGAATTTTATTCACAGAAAAAGGGATGAAGAGAGGAGTGGTGCTGTCGTCCAGGCTCAACCACGGAAGACAAATAAGGGCGTCGGTTAGGCTGGATTTGTAAGAAATAATTCACTTCAGACTGATTTAATAAAGTGTTAAGGAAAATATGACAAACCAGTGCATTGCATCCTGGAATAGTGGGAGAGAACTTGGGAGTCTTTGTGGAGTGACTGATTTGGGAACCCCAACCTATAAACAATTTTAACGTCTGCGGGACTCTCAATCATGCCAATTAACTGACTAAACGTTTTTTGCTGCTTACTGCCTAACTAGTGTTATTTTAGCTGTTTACAGACCAAGTAGAATATTTTTAGCTGTTTACTGACTACAGCTATGCCCCATTGACACCCTCTTTGTTATTTAAACCTCGCTGTGATTACAAAATTTAAATATGGAAGGAAAAACGAAATGGATTCTGGTGGTGAAAGAACTAGTACAGTAAAATAACGCCATCGCGCAAATGGTCCCATTGCTGACTTGGATGAAAGTACCTTGATTATCAAGCGATTTCTATAGCATAAACAAGTTATAGCTGTTACGAGAGATTTTTCTTATATTTATCGTTTCCAGTAAGCCTTATATCCGTTTTTGTTTATTGTATTCTTTTTTCAAGTACCTCCTTAAATAAAGCCACAAAATACTCATGCCACGGCATTGTGGCTTTCAATTGTGTCGCATGCACTTTAAAGTCTCTAAATATTAAATTATCCAAACAGAGAGTTTATTTAGAAGCAAGCAAACTGAGGCTCAGGCGGGTCAGGCTTCGAACATTTCATGAGACGATCGAAACTGAACGGAATAAGTTCATGATATGTTTGGTGTTTGTCTCAGTTTAGCTCGTCAGAATATCAAAGTTTGCCGGATCGACAAACAGGTTCTTCTAGTCCGCTTCAGACGGATAGGAACCAGGGGCGTAGCTACCATTTAAAAGTCGAGGGTAAAAAAAAAATAAAAAAATAATGAGATACAAAAGTGAATAATGAAAAGAAAAAGATACAAAGGATAAGATAGATGAAAGTTAATTATTTAAAAAGCACAGTTCGGCTCAATTCATTTCACAACGGACTGTTTGATTTTTCTTTTTACACCCGAAAGTCGGCTTTCAGGAAAGAGACGTGATTCACTGGTAAACCCAAGAGTCATAATGGCTCTTGGTGGACCGAATCTTTAATTGTATATATATAGACAAACAGCGGGGGAATGAGCAAACAGCAAAGCTGGATGGTTTAAAGCGTAAACGCGTTGTTTTCACTTCGGCCTCTCTTATACGCACTAGACGAAGAAGGGCAAGATTACATCAAAATTAACGCAGGGATCTTCCTCGGTTAAAAGTAATGTGGAAAATAATGGTAAAGGAATCACACATTTGCACATAAAAGTCTGAGATACCACTGGATTGTTCGCGTAGGCGCTACGGTTACACTAGAGGATTCATAAATATTTCGGATTTAGGATTCCGGACTTATTTTGTTGAGGGTATTCTGATCATTTCGTTAGCGTTAATAGAGCCCTCATACAAAAAAACGCATTCGGATTCTCAACAGTTTACACACATCGATAAAACTGAGTGGCTTTAGCAAGGACGACAGCGATAGCAACGAGAACAGCCACGTCAAAACAACAAATTTTGCACGTGTAGCACGTTTCTTGGTAAATTCCTTTGCCGTGCACGACCACGACGTGAAATTTTTTTACGGGACGCTGTTTGGAGGGCGTGAAAATAAACACACGATGATGATTTTTTTCATCTCCAGTTCAAACTTGGGTGCGGTCCCCAAGGATTCAACTCCAGTGAAATTCTCCTATTCATTTGCCCTTTTCGTTTGCAAGTTGGAAAAAACGCAAAAGTTTGAAAAAACGCGAATTNGCTGTTTGGAGGGCGTGAAAATAAACACACGATGATGATTTTTTTCATCTCCAGTTCAAACTTGGGTGCGGTCCCCAAGGATTCAACTCCAGTGAAATTCTCCTATTCATTTGCCGTTTCAGCTAGTTGGAAAAAACGCAAAAGTTTGAAAAAACGCGAATTCGTTTAAATAGTGACGTATTTGCTACCCTCGCCATCAATATTTTAAAGCACCCTACATTCATGAACGTGACACTTTCATTTTGGTTTTACCGCAAACACTTATGATCGAAGGAGGAAAGCATCATGATTCGTTGGAAGAACTGTTTACTCTATAAAACACTGAGGAATTAAAGGTAATTGTTAGATATAAACTCAAAAAGGCTACAAAGAATTTTCCAAATTTCTAGAGGCGTCATAAACGCTTAGGCTTACAGTAACCTTACCTTGGTGTGGGGTGGGGGACAGGGGGGACAGGGGTATTTGGTGATTTGTGCGTACCTCTGAAAAAATACTGGCTACGCCCCTGGGAAATGTGCAGATCTTCTAGGGGGCAAACATACACACATCAAGGGTACGTGCCATTTAAGTGTTTGTATTATCTGGCTTTCCATAAAATGCTGTTTATCATTACAAATTAGTATATTGAGCTGTTTTTCGGAACAAAGAGATTTGTCTGTTATAAACGGGTTTCTGCAAAGCAGGCTTCCACCGACGACTTTATAATGTGTCGCGCCCTTTATAACTTTTGAACTTAGTTTGACGCTTAGCCAAGTTCGACGTTGGTAACCCAGTAGTCGAACTCAACTGAAGTAAGGTCGACCCTAATAGTAATTTGACTCACGAGTCTCATAAAAACTTCGACTTCCACCCCCGGCCCCCATCTAAATTGCAAAAACCAGCTGAGTGATTTTTTAGTTTCCGAGCCAATGACGATTAACATCCAAAATAGACAACATATCCGGCCTTTCTCCCCCTTTAACTCGGTTAGGGCAGCTTTTTTAAAGTCTTGTCTGTGCTTTCTGTGCCCGTACGGAGTCTGTGTTTGTTGCCATCGAAATTTACACTTTTCCTTTCAGTCTTTGTGACCTTTTTGCGATTTCTTTCGCGTCCATTTTTAATTATTTTGAAACACTTAATGGGAACCGAAGCCCCCCCCCCCCCTCCCCCGCCGCATCCCTTCCCCTGAACCTAACCTAATAAAAATTCAACAAAAACGCTTTGCAAAATTCACTAACGAATTCAAACAAAACCCAACCTCGAGACAGTCCACATAACAAAAAGAAACCTTTTACCCCTGTTTCACTGGAAGAACGAAATTGGTTTTCTCGTGGAGTATCACTTGGAATTCGGAGGATCGAGGGTTTAATTGAGAACGGTCGCGTTACGCTTACGTAACGACCAAGTTGAACCATAGACCGAGCTTCACCCATCCACCCTGAAATTTTTGCAATTTGGATTTCTTCTTTTCTTTGGTTTTTGGCTGAAATTTTTTGGCGATATGCAACCTGCTTACGCAGCGTATTTTGGCTAGCTTAGTGGCCGTCGATTAATTAGGAAACTTCCAGAAACATCTTAGTTACATGTTTTATGGAGGAAGTGTCGAACGTGTTCTCGTCCACTTTTTTTTTCACTGCCGCTCATTTTTACCTTGCATTGGTGGCCGCTAGCATTTCTCATTTTGTCACCGCCGCTACAAAATTTTCATGTTATTCTTCCAACAAAAAAATGTCTCCTTTGTTTTTAATCCCTCGCTTTAGGCTCTGTCGTCCTCTTTCTCGTTGAACTTCGCTGGCCTGCCGCCTGCTTTCTCTTTCTCTCTGTCTTTCTCCTGCTCTATATTCCAAATTTGTGGACACTACAATGCATCTAAGCTAAATACTTTAGACAACACGGATACAGAAACAATTTCCGCTTTCAGTTTTCGTCTTTATTGCCTCTGTTTTACAAGACGCGGGTGGCTATGCGATTTCCCGCCAAAATAGCCTCGAGTTGCATTTGGGTTGCCATACCTGTTGATTGAGTTATTTTACATTGGTATGCCTGTGGTGCAGACGGATGGTCGCTCGGTCGGTGTACGGTCACGTGATTATAAAATTTTCTCGGATGGGTAGATTACTTCATTTTCTTACCCATGGTGCTCCGCTGGTGCGCTTCGCGCGCAAGAACTCCGCTATAAACAACTGGATAAGGACAAGTGTGATATACAACAATTATTCACCGAAGTGGAAGTGGCTAGTGGTGGTGACTATACCGAGGTTTGGTTATGTACCGACATTGAGGTGAATAATTGTTTTAGTATATACTAAAACAGTGAGATAATTGAGCACTAAAATGATGATTATTAACTCATTTACTGTTGCCAACGATTACAATCTTGGCGCGCAATGACCGAACCGGTGCGGTCGTCACTTTTTCTTGCCGGCAAATAGAACTTTTGAAGGCATTTGTTTAGCTCTTGCGGAAAATTTCTTCAAAAGGAGTTGTGAATTATTTTTGTACTTAAAATCATTCTCTGAAAAAAGATTTTTAAATTTAGTTTTAAGCTTACTTATAAACAAGTGAACTAGATAAAGTGACGCAAGACTTAAGCTTAATTTGCATTTGTAAACAAAAAACTTTTTCAACGTTTTTTTTCAAGTCACAAATACAAAGCTTTACCTGTCAAAACTTCCAAACCGAACTTCGTCACCTTCTTCGTGTATTTCGGGAACAGCTTCCTTGATTATTTGTGAAATTTCTCTGTTTGTTACGGCAGCAAACCGGGAAGGCATTTTACTCGCAACTTACGAGAGTTTGGCGTCGCTCGCTCGGAGGAAATGGACCTGAGTCAGTGAATAGTGCAGGATATTCAATGATTGAGTAGCCAATCAGAGCGCGCGAAAAACACTATCCACTGTTTTAGTATATACTAAAAAGAATTTTACAGATTTGCCTCGGCATAGTAGAAAAGAGACATTGTTTGCTACCTGGCCAGTTTTTGCCTAAAGTATATCTGCCGCCTTTAAAAACGGTTGTTTTTCCTTATTAAAAAACAACTTTTCATTTCAGGGGGATGGCTCCTCGTTTCCAACATTTTGATTGGTTCAACGCCTTCTTCTCAGCTGCCAGTCAAGACTTTATACCGTGGAATAACCAGTGATCAGATGATTCTTACAAAAACCGCCATGAATGAGCTGAGATCCCACTGCAGTAAAAAAAATGGAAGAACGTTCCACGTGACCACTGCCGATAACATCACTAGTGAAGCTGTAGTCCAGTATCCCAGCGGTCAGATGGATGTCCAGCCCGCCTCGTGTGGCGCATTTGTCAGAATGGAAAATGACAACTCGAGGTTAGCAGGTCTTTGCCAAAAGTGGGGACCGAAAAATGGCTCATACAATGCAGCCAAATGGGGCGACGGAATTGATCAAGCCCGATCATACGACCATCCTGCCATCATTGGACGCTTGATCATCGGAGTTATGGTCAAGCGAAAAGATGGGAATGCGATGATTATCTTGTTGGCGTGACCACCGGTGATTTCTAGAAGATTTACGTTCGCTAAAATATTTGTGTGTTGACGTCTGCTGTATTGTTAGTCTTATTGGCTGTAGACGTTTCAGATCTACTACTAGTAATGTGACGGCATGGTGCAAATAGCCCATTGCTAACTTAGATGAACATACCTTGATTTTCAAGCCATTACAAGAGATTTTTCTTATATTCGTCATTTAAAATAAGCTTTATATCAGTTTTCGTATATTACATTTAGTTTTCAATTATTAGCTTTGAATAAAGCCACAAAAAGCTCATACCATTTAATCATTGTGCCGTTTGCTTTCATTTGTGTCGCATGCACCAAAGTCACTAAATATTAAATTATCCTAGAAAAGCCAACTATATAACTTATTTATAAGCAAGCAAACTGAGGTCCAGTTAAGCGGTCTAATCCCTGGGGGATACTCCCTCCAATGGCCTATACGGGAGGCACTGCTAGAAAGGGGTGCCTTTGTTAAGTGTCAGGTATATGAAATGGTGGGGATTTCACTAGCTGAAGTATAAGAAAGGGCAGGGAAATCTGTCCGTAAAAAGACCTAAAGTTGCTAGAAGAATTTATGGCTGTGTCGAGAACATTTCCTGGTTTTGAGATTTATTTATATTTTAAAGACAGTGCATTTTTAACAGTTAAAAGGGATGCAACTTTCTAAATTAGGTATGAGAAAGGGATCCTTTTTTCAAAGGAAGATATACGGATATATTAAAGCTTAAGTGTTGAGGGATCAATTTGCTTCAGTTTTCACAGATGAACTCAATCTACTGATTTAACATCCCAAGTAGGGGCCCTATTATGATCGTAGACATTCCCCCTCTGAAGTTTGAAGTTTCAGGCATAACACGCTTGTTAAGAAAGATTAACGCCCAAAAAGGCCCGTGGTGCTGACAATATCTCTCTTGCTGGGTTCTGAAAGAAGCTGCGCCTGTCATTGCCCCATTTCTCCAGTATATTTTCACTCTATCAATACCAAACAGGTCAAGTCCCAAGTGACTGGGTCACTGCAAATGACACCCCAGTTTTCAAAAAAAGAAATCGCGCGAGCTAATTAATTACAGACCGATTTCTCTAACATCTGTGTCTTGTAACATAATGTAACATGTTATATACCGGCACATCATGAATCACCTTGATTCAAATTCCATTCTGGTACATTATCAACACGGCTTCAGACAACGGCACTCTTATGAAATGGAACTGATCATAGTTACTGAATCAGTAGCAGGTAACCTTGACCTTGGCCAATAAAGTGATTTGTTGTTACTCGACTTTTCAAAGGCATTCGACACGGTGCCCCATCGCCGATTGTTGAATAAATTAGATTTCTACGGAATTCGTGGAAATCTCAAGACCTGGCTCGAACAATGGCTAACCACCTGAAATCAAATATTCCCGTGAGATCAGGTGTGCCCCGGGGTACTGTGTTGGGCCCAGTCATGTTCGTTTTGTACATACACGATATCGGCGAAAACACAAAAGCACAAATTGGCCTTTTCGCTGACGTCGCGGCATTTTATGGTATAATCAAAGCGATTGTAATGATGCAGAGTCACTAAAGCAAGACCTAAACACACTTGCACACTGAGCGGACACATGGCAGCTCTCGTTTAATGTAAAGTAATGCACCATCCTAAGAGCCTCCGGCTCAAAAACTCTAGTTAAATACCAATACACTATCCACGGAGAACCCTCGGAAGCTGTACCTCGGAGTTGAGCTATCCAGTGATCTAAACTGGGATGTTCATATTGCTGGAATTATAGACAAAGCCAACAGATTTATTGGCTTTATAAGAAGAAACCTAA